TTTGCCCAGTGTACGCCGATTGAATGATACTGGCAGAAGGAATATTAGCTTTAACATTCCACCCACGTATGGTTGTTCATATTTCATTTCAGTTAACAACTTAGACCACTGCTGAATCCTGCAGCATTTCATTGTACTGGGAATTCAGCTCGTGTGGGTGAGGGGAAGTAGCATAGCCCTCTGCCGTTCCCCTGACCATAAGAACCTGTTAAGGGCATGGTGTCCCAGGTTTTCCTTATGGCCAGTCGTTGTGGTGTAACCCAGCAGGCAGCTGAACACCACCCAGCCACTCACTCACTGCCCCCCTCCCTCAGTGGGATGGGGGAGAGAATCGGGGGGGGAAAAAAAAGGGTACAACCTGTGGGTTGAGATAAAGACAGCTTAATAAAGCAGTAGAGGGGAAAAAAAAGTAGTAATCATAATAATAGAATATATAGCCACGCCCCCCCCCCCAGCCAGCCCCCCCCCCGAGCATGATGCCCTGTGGTCTGGAATAGCCCCTGGGCCAGTTGGGGTCCGCTGGGCCAGCCGTGCCCCCTCCCGGCTCCTTGTGCCCCTGGCAGAGCAGGGGAAGCAGAAAAGTCCTTGCTTGGTGTAAGCCCTGCTCAGCAACAACTGAACCATCAGTGAGTTACCAGCATTATTCTGGTAGTAAATCCAAACCACAGCGCTGTGCTGGCTGCTAGGAGGAAAATTAACTCTCTCCCAGCTGAAACTGGGACGGCAGTAGAAAGAGGCATGATCCAGCCTAGGCAAATTCTGAACACTTGTGTGAGCTGGTCATAGCAAATACAGTCACTGGCTTTATGGTCCAATTGGCTCTGATTCTTTAGCAGGTCTAACTTCAGCTCAAAAGAGAGTGCTCTCGGTGCGTATGAGACCCAGCACCCCATGCCTCTGTACATGGACCGCCAGCCTTTTAACATCAGCGTGTCGGCCCCCAGTCACAGGATACCATCCTACGTAGACAGCCAGGCCTTCGGCACCAGAAGGTAAGGGTGTGGGGATGGGACGCAGGGATGGGGAAAGCTGCTGGCCCAGAAATATTTGACAGAAACTCTGGTCCGGGTTGTACGATCGCTGCTTCAAGAAGCAAGAACAGGATTGTGTTGCCAGAGGGAGCAATGGTATTGCCAGGTCTCACAACAAATGGAACAAGATCATTTTTGGACCTGAAGGGCTGAAGAAGGGATTCGGGAGATCCGAGTTGATAATTGCTCCGTAACACTGCAGAGTTCTTGTCTTCAGATGACCTGTGTGGTGCCTGGACACCTGGCTGGTGTGGAGAGACCACATCTGCTGCTCCTCTGTAACTGCAGAGGTGGTGATTCAGGAGCAGTCTGGGTTTTATTTCTCATGATCCTCACTGACATGAGAGACAAGTTGTACGCTTGTAACTACTATTTATTTATATATATATATCTATGTTCATTCGTGTGATCCGAATGTAGCCTTTACCACCTCTTTTAGCATTTTTCAGAAAGTCGGTGTCACAAAGCTCTCACTTGTTTTTGGAGGCGTTTGCAGACTAGGACTAAAAAAACTGGGACAGACCTTTATTGTACTTCACAGCCCGTGACCACCCGCCGGCACTGTGTGATGCTGACGCCTCTCTGCAGGGCAAGCAACTCGCGCGTCGTTCCTGCCCTTGGGTTTATGTCCTCGACCAAACGCGTGTCTTGCCCAGAGCGGGGTTTTCCTCATCTTACGATGAGCTTAGCCTGTCCCTCTTTTTCTCGTTAATGCAGCAGTGATTTGCAGTGGTTTTTCAGCATTGTTTAACATTAAGTTATACAGTTGCCTGAAGCTTTAATCAGGATCAAAGTGCTGATATACAATATAAACATAATCTGTGCCCCGGGGCACTTGCAAGAAAAGAATGGCCATAAACTATAAGCTCATTTTTGCTATTGAAAGAGCCTGAGCTCTGCCCACAGGTTAAAGCCATTCCGATAATGAATTCTGTCTCGGAAAAGTGAAAATGTGTGGGTCTGACACCCAGCTGGGCAGCAGTTCACACGTGCAGATGGTGCAGGTGCTTTTGGCGAGCACTGGGAAAGGAAGCGATGTTGAAGATATATCCGTTTGTGAACTGCTTCGGCTTTACTCTCAGGCCACAGATTTTGAGTCTGCTCTCCTAGCCCCCGAGCTTTGTGTGCCTGCTGCAGAACCAGCACAGGTGAAATGGGCAGAGAAAGCATCATGGAAGCGACCACTGAGATGAAATATTAGTTAGCCAATGTGGGGCCTCTGGTGACTCCTGGTACGATGTAACTGGGGCGTTGTGCTTCCTTGCCAGACCTACCCCGGATTACGAAGGGAGAGTTTATGACGGGAGAAGCAGCCCGAGGCACAGCAGATATGACAGCACTAGTGCCAGGGGACACTGTGAATTTAACCCCACGGCTGGACGGTAAGAAGTCAAAGGGTGGGATCCCAACCTGTTAACCCAGAGGACGCCCCACTGCTACATCTATTCAGTACCAATTCCCTGGATCTAAGCATGTGCAGTGAGGTGCTGTTTGCATGGATGGCTGTGGTGCGTGGGTGATTTCGATGCTAAGCAGGGAGACATTTAGCCAAGATTCTCACCACTTGTGAGAATCCCTCATGTGCTCAAGTTCAGTGCTTGAGATTGTATCACTTCCTTTCATAGCCACGACTCCCTTCCCAGAGCTACCACCATGTCCATTTCCCAGAGAAGCCACAGGGTGCCGTTCTACATGGACAGCTTAAACTGTAACAGCACCAGGTAAATGGGTAGTCTTGACGGTCCTGAGGGAAACATCCGTGAAACTGCTATGGAAGAGCAGCTAGGAAGCAAAGCCAGGAGCTGAGAGAGAGACGAATGGTTTCCAGGGCGTGGATGTGTGATCTGGAGGCACAGAACTACTCTTAAACCATGCCTAGCAAGAGCTACCCAGCACAGGGTCTGTGATACATCCATCTCTGGTCTCTGGAGATCTTTCCCCATGCGGGATGCCACAACAGGGAAAGAAGGGGCTGGTTGCTGGCTACCCCCCCTTGACCAGAAATCGCCCTTTGCAGAGGCTACAGGAAAAAAAAAAAAGAGAGCTAAAAGCAGAGAGAGACGATGACTGTCTCCAAAATGTCAACAATTAAATGACTGAACTGGTCCCAGAACAAGGCTGTTGGAAGGGGTAGGAGGTATCCAATATGGAATACCATTACCCTGGGCTTGTTGCAGTCCTTTGTGGCAGTGTCGGTCCATCCATGTGCAGTCTGACACTGTATGGAGGTACCAGCGTAGGTCTGAGTGTTGGATCTGTAAAGGGGACTATGTTGTGGCTGTGAAGAGGAGGCGCAAGATCCTTGGATAGCTGAGGACTGGCTGCAGGCAAGATCAGCTCCGTCCCTGCAAGGCAAACTTAATGGGCCTCATTGCTGAGTGGATAGGCAGAGCTGCTTTCTGATGACGTTTTAGTAGCCATAGTTTTGCTGCCTTCTCCCTTCTGTAGCTTTGAAGTTATTAAGTTGGGGATAGTTATGCTGGGGATAGTTTTGTTGGGCTTTGGCCAACATGTCCTCCTCTCCCCTCCTCCCTCAATGTGTTGTGGGCCGTTTCTCTCCGTAGCTGCTCCCATTCGGGCTACAGAATTCACTTATGGTCTGTAGTTATTTGAAGATCGTGTTTGATCTTTTCTCCCACGACTCTGTAAATGATATGTTCCCAAATCACTTCTCCAGAGAAGTAGTACTGTTACGTGGCAGTAAAAAGAGAAAGGAGCCTTTTTGGTCTGTGGTAAAGACAAATTAATCTGCCTGGTTAAGGGCCTTAATACTGCACCCTCCTGCCGGTAGCGGTAGGTCTTGTCTTGGCTGCCAGCTTGGGTCATGTCATGGCTCGTGTTCCCAGTGCCCATAGACTTTTCTCTCTCTCGCCAGGCTTCTCTCAAGTTCGAGCGAGAGGATCTGCGGTCCGACGGCCACCTTACCGCACAACAGCCCAGCGGCCTCTGGGTACCAGCCTGATTCCAGCACCGCCGGGTAAAGAGCAGTGGGAGCCACCCGAAAGGGGGGAGATGGGCTGGGTACTTCCCTCCAGGCGCCCTTTTGTAGAGACCAGGGCGTAGCTCGCTGTATGAGTTGTGTCTTTTCCCTTTAGTGGTGGCAACATCGTGAATCCTCCGTAAGATGTTGTAGCTGGAGGGACACGGTGGAGCTCCTGGTGCCATGCACGCTCATCACAGGAGTGGGGCTCTTGGGAGACTCTTTGCCTTGTCAGTTATGAGCAAGCGAGCAGTCTACGTACAGCAAGTGTCCCAGATGCTGGTGGGGCTGGCACAGGACCCTGCTCTGTCATGTGTTACAGGAGGTAGCGTTCCGTCGCTCAGAGCTGTATTCTGGGATTTGTGGCTTCCACCAGCCCCACCTCAGAGGTGAAAACTGCTGCACAGTTTTACGCAGTTTAGAGAGGGGTTTCAAAGTGGTTGACAGGTCAGCATAGGCTTTGATGGGCAATATTTGGGTCCTCCTGGCCTTGCTATGGCCTGCTTATCACAACACCTGCCTAAGTAGGAGACTCTAGTCTGAAACACTAGGGAAGTGTCTATGCTAAGTTAAAAAAAAAAAAAAAAAGCTTTTCTTTTCTTTCCTTAGCTGTGACATGGCTTAGTTTGCTCATATAAGAAGAGAGGATTAATCGTAGCTTATAGGCAGCAACGAAAATGCACCATGGAGAAAGAGCCTGATTAGTTCATTTCATGGCTCTGGGAAGAGCGCCAGTGGGCACAGCGTCTGCCCTCGGTCTGCGGCAGAGCTGTAGACAGACAGACAGATGGGGACATGTCATTCTGAAATCAGGATTTTTAAAGAGGGAGAAATATGCAAGAAAGGTCAGCTCTGTAAGCAAAAACATCCCCAAACCAAACCAGTAGCAATTTATAATGGCTGGAAACGCTGGAGATGTTCCAGTGACAAAAGAGGCGCTGTAAGCAGTGCCGTGCCAGTAGGGTTTTAATGTTAACGGGCAGAACCACAAGCTCTCTAAATGCTTATTGTGTGCATAATCCTGACATGATTTGAAAAAGACTTATCCCTGCAAAACAGGGGATAACTGGATGAGAGAGTTCTATTACCCGTCCCATTCTTTGTAATTAACTTGATTTGTTTTGGTGGGTTAATTAGAGAGGAACATTAGGTGTTATTTAGCAACAATGCTCGATATTCGGTGTTTATTCAAGAACAACACCATCTCGCTCTGTGCCTTTTCATGCACGCGTTAACGTGTCCAAGTGCACACATGTGGTCCCTCGCGCGCTCTCGCATTAGCTCCAGTCTTTTCTAATGCAAATGCTTCTCCTTCTTTTCCCATCCGTTCCCAGAAAAGGGGTCCTCTTTGTGAAGGAGTACGTGAACAGCAGCGAGTTATCAGCCTCCCCGCGCTACGGCAGGTATGAGGAGTGTCCAGAGAGAGTCATGTGTCTACATACGTGCGCAAAGCAAGGGCGTGTGGCTTCGCCAGCTAACACACACCAAGCAGGCTCCCGAGCTGGCACGGTCAGCGCTGCGTCAGCACGCCGCTGTGCCTCAGCTAATTAGCCCTGGAGGGATTATTGCATTGGGTGGGCAGAGAGTTTTGCTAAGACAACAGTGTGCTGCTTTGGGGACCCAGGCGGGTATCTCTGCAATCCACCGGGCTCTCCAGTCCCGATGCGGTGACGGGAGGACCGCTGCCCCACAGCTCCCAGCGGAGGGGGGACGCTCCCCCTCTGAGTGGGTTGGCCTCTAAGGTGGGTGATGGGATGAAAACGTTGCACTGCAGTTTTTTAGGCTGCATATTTGGCACTGTCAGGCTTCACTGTGCCTTTGCGCGCAGAAACGAATCATTGGAATCGGTGAGAAAAATGTGGAGGTCGAGGGTTCTCGCTCAAAAAAGTTATTTACGAGTTAGAAAAGACGCCATTTTCAAGCTTACATCTTCAGTCTTCTGTATTCTGCTCAGAGGTAGCTAAGTAAAGCTACTCCAGGTTGACACCAGCGTGACTGAGAGCAGAACCTGGCCCTATGTACCTCCTGCTTACGTTGGTGTGGCAGCCAGTTAACACCCAGTTTGATGCATCCCTGCTGGCACTTGTCCTCCCTCAGCGCTGCGTTGGCATTACTGTGGTAGCTGATTACAGACTCCATAAATCTCTAGCCTTTCCTCTAGGAAAGCAGATGTGAGTGTCTTGCCGCAGCGTCTAAAAACCACAGGCAAAAACAGAAGGCAGAGAGGGAACACTCAGCTAGGTGAGACTAAGGATGTGTTCCGTGCCTTTTCCTGCCTAATAGTTCAGGATTTGGGAGTTTAGGAAGCAGTGAAAATAGCTGCTGTTTATGGGGTCCCTATGTAAACATCAGGACCCCAGTGGGGCCAGAGAAGCTTTACTGATGAGTGTACTGGAGGCAGGATTTCACAGGTTGCCTGCCCAGCGGCCAGCACAGGATTTTGCCAATCTCATCCAGCAGCCAGTGGGAAAACACACTGGTCCCCCCAGCCTGGGCCACGGCCTGTGCATGTCCCAACTCCAGAGCTGCTGGACGGCACGCTGCGGGCCCCTGGGCAGCAGAGCCAAGGCAGCCGTGGCTCTCGCTGACGGGGCAGCCCTTGCTCCTCCTCCTCCTCTCCCCCTTTTTTCCCCCCCCCCCCCCCCCAGCCAGCCTTGCCTTTTCTGCCATTTTAATGAGACAATCTGGCTCACGGAGGGGTCTGATGGCTGGCAAGGAGTAAGGGTGGGGGGGAGCATGTGGTTGGGAACACAGCAGAGGAGGGAGAGAGCAGTATCCTTCCCTTTGCTTTGGCAAGGTTGTTAGGTCTTCTCAGCCCTCTCTCTGTTAGGGAAATGCCTTTTCCGAGCTGGTTAGGAAGGACCAACCTTCTCACCAAGCAACAGGCAGCTGGGATGTTACAGTTGGGACTTCAGGTTCACGGTCAGCGATTCCATCTGAGATGCTCTTCCCATGTATCGCTGCCAAGTGCTGATATTTCCTTCTGTCCCCAGTGGCAGCCCTGTGGATTTGAACGATTTGGAGAGAGCAACCTATGGCTACCACAGCTACCTGTCCAGCACTCCCCTGCAGAGGTAGGACAGTTCGGGGCTGCCCTTGGGGGTTTCAGCAAACTGTTAAACAGAAATGACTTTAAGGTTTTGCTTTTTTAGAATATTGGTATGTGTTTGGTGAAACAGCAGCACAAAGTGTAAATGATCTTTGGAAAATACAGTGACATTGACTTAAAGATCTGTACTGCCCTGCTGCCGTGGTCTCTGCACCTCCGGGACGCCACGTGTCCCTCCGTGCTGTTATGTGACATGGTCAAACACCTGTAGGAGCAGGCAGGTCATGGACAGCGGTGCTGGTGTTAGCTCAGAAGCCTCTGGTACCAGTGCTGGGACTGGAACCAGCTTGTGTTACAGAGGAATTCACTCTTCTCTTCCTCCGCAGGTCCAGTGAACCTGTTTGCAGTTACTGCAGCCGTGAGATCCGAGACTGCCCTAAGATCATAATAGAGCATCTCAACATCTGCTGCCATGAATACTGTTTCAGGGTAAAAAAACCCAAAACAAACCCATAGCTACTGACTGCCTTCTGTGTGGTGCTGTGAAATGGAGTGGTGGGAGGAGGAATCTTGGTGCAAATCCCGCCCTCGGACTTTCAGAGTAATGTATAGTGTGCCAAATGCTTGCATCCACATCGGGACAAAAAAGTCACACAGTCACAGGTGTTGGTTGTGTCCCCAAAAGTTTTTCAGCTCCTCAAATAAATGTGTATTAGCACAAGGAGAATTCTTTATCATCACCTGATAGAACGGCAGCACCATCTTTCCTCGTGTCCCTGTCCTCGTGGCAGACTTGCTGCTTTGTGGCCTTTGGTCTTGCTGACTGTCTCAGACCTTGCACAGTTTTTGTCCTCATGGCAGACTTGCTGCTTTGTGGCCTTTGTGCCCCCGTGTGGGTCTTGCTGACTGTCTCAGACCTTGCACAGTTTACAAGTAAGGTCTGTGGCAATGGTGAGTGTCGGGGGAGAAAGCCTGCAGTGGTGTTTGTCTGTTGTAGAAAAGTTTAGCCTCAAACTAAGTCGCTGCTTTGGCATCCCCACACCTTTATAAAATGACACAGGGACTGTTCATTCCTCTGCCCCCTCCGTTAGTGCACGGTGCTTTGGTTACCGTCCAACCACCTTGTTTTCCCTCTGGCAGTGTGGAATTTGCCACAAAGCAATGGGAGATCTTCTGGATAAAATATTCATCCACCGGGACATCGTCCACTGTGACAAGTGCTACGAGAAACTCTTCTAGGTGAGTGCCCCTTCACAGTGTCAGCGTAAAGGGCCGGGTGAGAGAGCTTGTGGAGTTTGCTGAATGAAGAGCATTTGACCCTCACGTTGACCGAGTGACCCACGTGGGGGTTTTCCCGTAGCTTTTTAGTGGGAAGCGGTGACCCTTGTTGCAGAATTAGCCAGCAACATGCTAGAGCTGGTCCCGGGGGCCTGGGTTAGAGCCAGGATCTCTGCCCATAATGTGACAAACAGGCTGTGTTAGCTTCCCCCGGGGGAGGCAAGCAGGGGGGCTGGCTTGAGTGACGAGAGGGATGTCCCTTAGAGGTTGAGAGTCCCCTCTGAAGGTCATTAGAGAGTTCCTCCTTGCGTCCCGGGCTGACCTGCTGCAGGGGGCTGGGTGCCGTTTGCAGCCGGAACGTTCCTCCAGCGAGGAGGCAGCGTGTCAGCCATGGGCCCGGTCACCACTTTCCATGAAGATCCTTTGAGATGGAAACCGCTGGGAAAAGTAAAGCATTGTACGCTCTGTCGGCAGATCAACAAGGAAGTAGGTTGGGTATGGTTTTGTCCTGTCCGATTATCTGGATGGGGCAGGAGTCACCACGGTGGCAACCAGACACCCTGCCGCTGCACGGAGATCTTTATAGAGAGAAGCCTGCTTTCCTCCCTCTGCCTCCTGCGAGAGAGGAGGAGGGAAAGGGGCACCCGCACGGCTGCTTTGGTTGCCCCTTAATGCAATGTGACTGGCTCGCCTCTTCCATCCCGTTCCTGCACGGTTCAGCTGCTCCGCTGGCCTCCCTACCGCAGCGGGGTGTGTGGCACCCAGCTCCTGCGTTCACCTTCTCTTTATTTCCTTGCAGGGTTTTGCAAAGCTGGAGAAGGCAGCCAGTGGAAAGTCCTCGGCAGCACGGATCGGAATGTATCCGGCAGTTCCTGACTGGCTAAGATAGCAGAATTCCCGCTCCCCCCTTTCCTCAAGTTATTTTCCCTCTCACTGCCTCATCACAACGAATGAGTTTAGCACCCGCTAGTTTACGCTGTCAGCCGCGTACAAGACCAGTGCCAGTGTAACAAGATAAGGCAGTGTCATCTACAACGATAAGTGGGCTGATTTTCCGAAGGTGCTGAGCCCCTCCGCCTGTCTTTAACTTCATTCAGATTCCGGAGCGCTCCCTGCGCTGGGAGTCAGGCAGAGCTCCCTAGGTCTAGCTAAGCTCATTGTGAGAAACCTCTGCTGATTTTATTTTTTTTCTTTTTTTTTTTTTTTTTTTCAGTTCCTTTCTGCAATCGGGCTGCAGCGCAGTGTGTGTGAGCTGGCACAAAGCAAGCCGATACCACAAGTGTTAAACGCTATATTTGGATTCTTGGGAGGGTTTGAATTTTAGTTCTTAGCAAAAGCCTATTTCTGCTTCTCTCACCCCCAAAACTGTGCCCAGAAATAGCTTCTGCCTGATTTCCATTTGCTTTCCATGGGCTTCCAGGAGCACTTGCAGACTCACTTTACTCTAATTGTGTGTCAGGTTTAATTTCCCCTTCCTGCCCGCTCCCCAGTGGATTGCTGCAGCAGCATGCGTGTCTGCTGTCTGCTGGGGAAGATAACGCTCGCTTTCACCTGGTCCCTTCGCTTGGCCTCTGACGGTAGGCGTCTGGTGGCCGTGCAAGATGTGCCAGAGAAAAGGCATCTCAATTGCCGCTCCTGACAAGGAGCACTGCTTGGCTGAAATCTGAATTTCCCCCCACCCGGCCAAGGCTTGCCGTAGCGCCTCTCTTGCTGCCCTGAATTATTTACATCACAAATGCTCGCTCACGAAACTGAACTTCTAGCAGATCAGAATCGCCTCATTTCAGCCCTTAATTCAGACGCTGAGAGGTTGAGAAAGCTGAATACCGAGAAACCTGGAAGTCAGCCTCTGGGCCTTGGAAGCACAGCTCTGGACGTGCCCAGGGAGCGGCGGTGCTCTCTTTGGAAGCACGAGGAATGCCTGCAAAGCCCCCGAGCCAGCTCTGGAGCGGCTCCTGGGCGGAAAGAGGTGATGGCACGAGCTCCAACGCGGACTATCGTTAGCTAGCTAATTCTTTAGGCGCTTGGCGATGGGAGCTGGCTTGCATGCAAAAGCTTAGCAAGTTAGTGTTTTACAGCACAGGAGCTACTTAGCTATTACATATATATATATTTTTTTTTAGGCCCCTGTACCAGTTATTTAACCAAACTATAGGCGTGACCTCAGAAGCAACTCCATGAGGGGAATTCCAGCTGAAAGCAGTCACAGCTTTGCTACTGGCAAGCTTTGGGTTGAGCCCTCAAAGCCGTGGCTGCGACAGGGGCTCAGGGCAGCTCCCTCGGGAGCGTGCGCGGTACCACCGGGGGACCCCGAAACCCCCGAGGTCACCAAGGCGTGGTTTTCAAACGTGACTAGTGATTTGGGCTGCCTACGTTTCTAAGTTATCAAGATGTTAGAGATGATGTTTTCTGAACAGAAGAGGGTCACAAAGCAGCTCCTCTACCCAAATTGCTCATTCCTGAAGACCAGGGCCAGCGGTTCCTTGCCGGTACCTGTACCAGCAGCCGCTCCGCACCTCGTGCCGCGGTCAAAGGGGGGTGTGGGGAGGGGTGGTGGTGTTTAAAATGCCGAAACAGACGGGCCGGTAACTGCAGCTGCACCTCGAGCAGATGGCCTACAGAAATAACGTATTCACCGCTTCCAGCATTGCTGATGGGTACGTGGCCTTACGGGGAACAGGATTTGTCCGCGACGCGTGTTGCGTGCGTGTCCCCGTAGCGCTTGTTTAACCTCAGCCTACAGCTCTAATAAACAGCCCTCGCTCAGGCGCAGCCTCCCCGCCCCGTGGCACGCTCCTGGTGCGCCCTTGCCTCTCAGGGTCTGTCTCGGTTTCTTTTTTTTTTTTTTTTTTGCTTCTCGGTGGCCTTGGGGCACTGAAGGCTTTGTGGGAAGATGTGGAAAGGAGAGAGGGTGTTCTCAGGGGCGAGGGTGGGTTCAGCAAACGCGCGCTCTGATGTCCTCCACACAATTTAAGTCGGGTTGCTCTAAAAATCTGCTGTTACCCTGTGGGAAGGGGAGCCCCGCCACGCTGAAGAATCGCCCCTGTGTCCAGACAAGGGGCTCTCGGAGGTCCTGCCCGTCCCTTCCTTGCACGTTTCCCTAGGCCTGGACTGCGACCTGCGCGTAGCGTCGCCACAAAGGGTTCGATGGCATTCCCCCCCCCCCGCCAAAGACACATATCCTGCAGCTATTCTAAAAATAATACGCTTTAATGTGTTTTGGCCTGAACTTTAAAGAATTGCTGATCTACCCCTCCCTGCTCCACCCTCCCGCAGAAAAAAGAAATGATTTAAAGCTGTAAATATTCCTGTTTCCATGTGTTTGTGGAGAAGGGGTCAGCTGCACGCGGATTTCTCCTCCGTGCGGGGTGAGGTCGCGTATTTTCCGCAGACGAAAGAGTTTCAGCAGGGAGCCTGCTGCTGGCGGGGACGAGCCTCGGCCGGATTGTTACCTGTGAAATTGTAGAAATGTATGTAAAGGCTACACGGTGCGACGCCAGTGACAGGGCAGCGGCGGAGGCAAACCCCTCCCTGCCCCGAGGCCCCTGCGCGGAGCCCGGCGCTTTCGGCAATGTCGCCGTTTGCACAGCCCGGACCCTCCCGGAACGGCTTTCACCGGGCGTCGGTGCCAGACTTGGGGTGTTCAGGCCAACTGGGGAGAAAAACAAACCGGATTCTGCTTGTAGCGCTTGTCCTTGGTGGCCGCGGGGCAACACCGAACGCTTGTCGAAAGACACCAGGGGGTGCGTTTGGGTCCAACGCGCACGTTTTGGAGGAGGATGCGAGAAGAATGATGATTGTTGTCCAGCCTGGGGAAGAGAAGGCTGCGGGCAGAGCTGAGTGCGGCCGCTCAGGGCTTCAAGGGGGCCCAGAGGAAAGGGGGGGACAAGCTTTTTAGTAGGGCCAGCTGGGACAGGACAAGGGGGGATGGCTTTAAACTGAAGCAGGGGAGGTTTAGACTGGATCTAAGGAAGAAATTCTTTCCAGTGAGGGTGGTGAAACCCTGGCAGGGGTTGCCCCGAGAGGGGGTGGAGGCCCCATCCCTGGGAACATTCCAGGCCAGGTTGGACGGGGCTGTGAGCAACCTGATGTGGTTCAAGGTGTCCCTGCTCCCTGCAGGGGGGTTGGACTGGGTGACCTCTAGGGGTCCCTTCCCACCCAAAACATTCCATGATTCTA